GACAGAATTTCTCTGGATTCAATGAGCTAGGCGTGAGAAATGATTAATGCTGAATTACACTATTCTTTTTTGTTATTATCTCTGATAACTGTGACTTCTTAAGGTTAAAAGCTGCTATTGAAACAGCAGTAAAAAATCTAGTGTCAAATGTTGGTTAAAAGCTTAACTCTCAGCAAAGAATTGAGACTGATTTATTACAGTCCTTGACTGCTATTAACTCCTACCCCATGCACCTTTAATGAGAGAGACTTATTTGTATCATATATTGTATGAAGTTCTCTTTTGTCTCCACAGTGTTCTCTTTTGTCTCTTTTGGTCAGCCTAATAAGAATGGAAGCTCCAGCTTCAAACTAGAGTGCTGTTACTTATAATGAGAGGTTAGACTTTGACCTTACTTAGATAATCACATAGAGAATGTGTCACTGTGTTCTACAGACAAAATAGCATGTTTAAGATTGTTAGTTCTGAAATAAGACTAATGTGCGATGATCACTGAGCCCCTCATCTGAATATCAGTGTAATCAGATGTAATAAGCGGCCCAGTTGTTTGTGGCTTTTATCATGAATGGCACTTTTTATGACATTTGATGTCTCTTCACATTAGCCCTTTTCACTTTTGGGTCACCGTCCCCGTTTTCACCATCACAGTGAAATCCCTCTTCTGAAGTGAAGCCAAACTGGGTCACCTACATTATCTTCCTGCACGGCATCAGACCTGACAAATGCTTGATCAGACAAGCCTTCGTCTGCCACCGTCCAATTTTGCCCCAATTTTACACACACTCACACCTCCAGCTCGTCCGTTTCGTTTGAATGTGTCAGGTCAGCCGCCGTAACGCACGTCCTGTTATATGAGTCAGGGTGATGGAGCCCCGCTGTGCTACTGCCTTGGCCTTCTGTATCCATGCCAACCTCAAATTGCTCTCTTCAGACCTACCTGAATGTACGGTCATTTCTTTTTTTTTTATCCGATCGATGGAAGGTCTTGCGATCATTTTAATCATTTATCTGACACAAGGAAAAGGACATGAAAGTCATTAATGTTTAAAGCACTTTAAAGTACTTTTAAACTTTTTGTTCATGATAGTGCTTTGTACTCCAGATTTGGGATCATTTTGGGCACTTTTCTCCTTTCTTTCAGCTTTCTCGGATAACTGGAGGTTAGAGGTAGGAGCCACTAGAGGCTCCATGAAACAGTCTATGTCCAAAAGCTTGTAGACACCTGATCATGCAATGTTTCCTCTGAAATCAAGGAATTAAATGAGAGTTTGTTTCTCATTTGCTGCAGTACCAACTTCTCCTCTGGCAAAATTTTATGCAAGGAATATTACTGTGAGGATTTGTTTGCATTCTGCCTTGAGCATTAGTGAGGTCATTTTGGATGATTACTCTTGGATCCCAAATGATGCTCTGATTCAGTGGCAGACGTGGTTTTGGCAAGTGGGAGGGCAGTGTTGTTATGCATCACGTTAGCACAGCGACCCAGACCCTGCTGCCTTGCCCTATCCACACTGTGTCACTGATGCTAAGTTCCACTCTTCCATAGCACCCCTGCTGTTTTTCAACAAATAACACTGAATATATGAAAACTCCAAAGACTGAAGTCTAGCAAACAAGACATATTAGTACAGGCCTTTAGCCACAGAGCTGAAATATCATAACAGCCTGAATAATCAAAATACATACAGTAGTAACAACCTTACCAGACTGGTAAATGTGAAGATACTACAGCATACAAAACTCCTTTGGAGATACTCACCAAAACTGTTTTTGTCCTATTAAGAATGAATTATGTCAACTTAATATTTCATTTTTCAACATGAGTTTTCTCAAATGAATTTGAAATTAGCCCTTCAACCAGCAGGCTATGTTACAATAACTGTGTTTACTAAACCTGGGGCCTGAAGCTTGTGATTGGAGAAAATGTTGCCAATCATTTTAAAGCATGTTAATTTCGCCTAGCAACAGTCACTTGACTGGTCAAGAGCCTTTTCTCTCAGAGACAGTGTTTTTCTGCCCTGCTGATTGGCTAATGGTAGAGCACTGACTCTGATAGAGAGTTCAGGATTCTCAGGACACTGTGACAGACACCCTGCAGCACAAACAAAGACCACAGTGACAGTTTCTAGCTGAGGTACATCATTTATAAACTAGAATTAATTCTTTCCACATTACATATAGTTTTACAAACATATGTCATAATAAAAATGTATAGATTTAGTAGAAAAATAATTTAGTAGGGAAATAGTATTTCCTTTTTGTTTGTGGTAGCCATTAAGGCAGTGACCCATTACTCATAATGGATGAAACGCCCCTGGTCCATCTCATCCTGGAGATATTGGATGGAACTCTGTTACTCCAGAGAATACAGTTCCACTGCTCCACAGAGCAATGCCTGTGGCTTTATGCCCTTCTAGCCAACGCTTGGCAGTGGGCATGGTGACCTTAGGCTCATGTGCAGCTCCTCCACAGTGTCCCATTTTATTGTCAGTACTTTTGTATAGAGATTATACAAGCCGTGGGTGCACAGTTCAATGCCTGTGTCAGCTACGGGTGTGCCGTAAAGTGACTGAATTCACTAATAAGTAGGACTGTCTGGATACTTTTGGACATAAGGTGTATAATAAAATACTTATAATTACCCATGAAACTAATTAAATAATGAAACATTTATACAGGTTTCTGGATATCACTTCTATTTTTTCACCCAGAAAATCACAATACTGTGTTGTTCTCTCACCCCTACTGGTGATCCTACTGATCCTGAAGCTTCTGCACAGCAAGAACCGCTTTGTTTGAGCAAAATGAAAAAGACACTAACTGCAGGTTTCATGGGCCTTGTAAGATAAATTGTATGTAAGACAAATTGTATGTAAGATGAATTGTATTGATCTGAGTCTGGCTCCAGAGCCCCCATCCAATGCTGGCTTCTTACTGTAGTAGGAGAGAAAAATGTGGCCACCGGAGAGAAAAAATGGCACAGTAATAACTGGTATATCATCTGGAAATGTAAAATAAATGCCTTTTGTATTTGGTTGTATAGCTTTTCTGTTTATTCACTGGTAATAAGGAATAGCTGTTGGTGTAAAAAAAACACATGCATTTTGACTGGTTCCCAAACACCACTGAATCCCATCGTCTGAGACTTTTGTCTATATGAGCCGATTAGGTTTCTCGGTAGAGTACCATCAGTCTTTTGGAACAGAGCTGAACTGTATATTGTACAGAGGTGGAAAGTAACAAATAACAACAGCTCTCGTTACAGCATTTGAGTGCACTTTCCTGTGCTACTGCACTTTCTTGACTTGAGTAGCATAGTGATTTTATTTTTACTGATTTATTTCTGATGAGGTATTTAAATTTGCCACTTCATTCGTAATATTAATTGCCACCAAGCAAGTCCAAAATGAATAGGTGACTATGGAACTTTTGTGCAAAATCGTCTTCTGTAATTGCTCAATATTTTTATATAGAAGAAAACATATAAGTGCATAAAATATTTCAGCACTGGTTTTATTTGTCAGGGTTTTGAACTCCACTTATAACGGTGCCTCATGTACATTCATGGCATTAGTGAGTGTGAACAGCTTCACTCAACCAATGAGCTGATCGGCTCACCAACCAATCAGTACTCAGTAATAGTAATGCTAGCATTCTACTGCACTAAATCTGTTTGCTATAGAAAAACTGAAAAATACTGGTAAGTTTTCTGAGATTCTTTTAATGGAATACCTCCTTCTACTTTCCAAAATTAAAGGAAGTTCCCACAAAAATGGCTGGAACCATGCTTACTTTTTAGTTTTTAGCTGTTTAGCTCCCCTCACCTTCATTCATTGAGGACTTGGTTGTGGACGGCCTCTAGTGCAGGCATGTCAACCTGGGGACCTTCCGGGCCAAATGCTGTGGACATTAGCGTTTACCTTCATCTAATGCTCTAAATTCAGTTCATGAAGACCTTGCTAATTAGCTCACTAGCTGAATCAGGTGTGTTTAATGAAGCAGTGTGCTGAAGTCTGTGGTGTTTTGGCCCACGAGGACTGGAGCCTGACACATGTGCTCTAGCGTTTCACAGTAGGCCTAGACAATATCTAAAAATGTGAAACAGCTAGGCTACTGTGTTCTTTTACTGTTTACTTTTTACCTTGACATTTTACCATACAAGCAATATTAAACCTAAACCAATCACCTAGATGTTCAAGTTAAGCTAATGGGTCAACTTAGGCAGTCAGTAAACATAGTGAAACCATGAGCACTGGACCTACTTTCTGTAAGATAAATTCACTTAAAGTAGGACAGAGTAATCAGGGTAATTTTTTTCAGTAAAGAGCTTATTTACTCTAACTAGAATAATTTTCTTTATTAATACTTTTACTTGTATTCAAGTGAATTCGCACTGTGGCAGCAGTAAGCAGGGATTTTCAGTAATACACCAATACTGTAATACATGTGCAGTGCTTTCACCGTGTGCATATGTGGGCACATTCACACACATCAACAACCGCTCCATTGCACATGGTTGCACAAATCGAAAACCCCAAATCAGCAGGGACAGCAGTACAGAAACAGCAGCACATACAGACAGAGCATCACCCATAAGCTTGAATGAGTGTGAACACAAAGCCCAAGGGCTTAGGGATACTCACATTCAGTGCCTCAAAATGACCCTATAGTGGATGAAATTTTTAGAAGTAATGATTTTTCTCTCTCTGCCCATGTGTTTTAAGTGCTCTGTTTCACATGTGAGTGGACAGTATAATCAAGTTTCTGCTATAAAGTGCCTCACCTCTGTCTCTTCGCAGCTGCCCCACATTGATCGCTGGTATATGAACTGTGTTCTGCATTAAAGAAAACAACCATACAGCCATCTTTGTGGACGTAGTTGTATTATGAACTGAGATACAGCAATGGTAGTGCGAATTATTGTTAATGTAGTAACATCACTTTATTGCATTAATGTTATAATCATATCATAACAGCGTCTCTTTCTGGTCTCCTTACAGATCTTCCGGAGAGCTGACAAGGATGGTGAGTATGAACTGAACCAAGCAGCATCATTCTGAGTCATTTTCATTGTCTTTACTGTCTCTGGAAGGCTAGATTATTTATTAAGCTGCTTATGAGTTACCAGTTGCCTATATTGCACTACTGGATGTAATACTCCAGAATAGAGAATCATTATTAGTAGCATGTGTTGTTAATTGCTTAATATGTTAAATATGGTAGCTTGATAGTATTTGTACCCATATATTGTGAAATAGGCATGTTTTCCTCAATTCTCAATTCAAGTGGTGTGTATTCCTATTCCTCAATATAACTTGTATACATTGGAATGAAATGTCGTTCTTTAGGCCCCAAAATGCAACACACAGCAGCAACATTTACCTGACTCAGTGCTTATTACTACCAAGCTGGGAATCAATGCTGTTTAGCCAAATATAGCATGAATACATATTAAACAGTTAGCACCATATGCTATTGCCAAAGCTTTGAATGGTTCTCCAATATGGTTATATCCAGGTAGCACTACCTAGTTTCAACTGCATTTAAATTAGAGATGTGCACAGGTAATTGAGTACTTGGTTAACCATTCAAGGTGCAAGTATTCAAATACTGCATCACTATTCAGGTGCGCTTTTAATTTCAGCACAAGCTCAAATATACAAACTAATGATTGAATGAAATTGAATTATGTCTAAACAGAACCGTAAAATGCTGAGGAGGACAGATTTTCTGCAGTCTTAACAGCAAAAGCTACATGAAATCTGACTTTTTCCAACTGAATTCAAGCCACATTTGTAGATGTGACTCAGTTTGACCAGTAAGACTGGATTTAATGTGTTTTTTCTTCATTCAGGGCATGGTGGGTCATGACATTAGAATGTGCGACAAGAAAGTCAGCAGTGTGTGTTCACATATTACAGCTTAAACACAGAGAGTAGAAGCTTTTAACTGACATTTAAATGACATTTTTTACTTTGTATGTTGTAAGTGGGCAGTGGCTGCTTCACTAAAAGATTTTAACTTAAAGCCTGTCTGAATGTTACTGGTACAGCCTGTAGCTTGTTAGCAGTCTGTTGACCAGATCAACCTACACTAATGTCACATTCTGTTCATGCCATAGTTAATAAAAAGTAAAACGCTATTGTATAATATAGTGTAACCATTCTACCATCTAGTTTTCAGTTTAAGTTAAGTGTTACGTTTGCTAAGTTTTGCCCCTACTTGGTCAGCGTATGCACATGTGTTGTTGCTACAGCAACCAATGCGGATATGCAAGCAAATGCGACTACAGTCTAAGCCTTAGAAATTAGATTTGGTCATTTGTAGCTTCAAGTCTGAACAGTTAGTCTAAAAAGTCAGATATAAGAAACAAACCCAATTTGCCCTGCTGTGTGAACAAAGCTGTGTGCTGGGCCACTACAAAACACAAGTTTTAGACCGCTTTGCCCATAAAATTTAGATTAATTGAGAAGACAGATGTAGCACGGCTTTATTGCTAACTTAGCTAACTACTCTAGCTGATGTTAGCTAACTAGGCTAACTACTCTAGCTGATGTTAGCTTGGTCCAGAAACTGCGGAAATGTAATTCTCTGACAAATTTCTCTGAGAAAATACCTTGTGTAGAAGATGATGAGTCCTCATCAGCTTCCAGAGTTGTACCAATAAGCTGTGGTTTCAGCTCACTTCTGAAGAGGCAGCCTCTGTTACTCATCCAGCATCAAAACTACCAGTTTCCCTCAGCTTTTTGGAAAAATGTAAAGTTTTTAAATGTATGCCTTTGCCTAAAAAATTTTGTGCTACAAACACCAGAGCTTCCATATACTCCCACCCTATGTTGATTTTGGCCGAAGTAGCTCTTATTTGGCACTTTTACCTTCCCATTGCTAACTGGATATCCGTTCTTTAACTCTTGTAGATATTTGAATAGCACAATTGCACATTTCTCATTTAAAGCAGTATTATTTATGTCCAACTGCTTTCTTTGAGGTAAAACAGCTCAAAATATGTGTTTTACAGAACAATGCCAACTTCTTGCTAGGAGGGTAGCCAACATATTTGCTAACAGCTCTGCTATTTGAAACAGAATATTTAAGGTTTTAGAGTATTTGATGTAACTGAGTACTGCTAAATATTAGGTAGAGTTTCAGTCCTGTCAGACATGCTTTTTTGAATGATATTACATTGTGATCAGTTTTCACTCAGTTCCTGAAATTGAATCAGATCCAGATGTCTGTAATTGAGACTATGCACATGCTAACCACAAGCAAATGGAGTTCTACACTGCATTAGGTAATTGCCTTACTTAAGGGGTGAGATTTGTTACCTGTGGCATTGTCACAGCACTACGCTAAGCAAGTTAACCGCAAGCTCTGCTGTTTTTCCCTTCAGTTCATGTTAGCCTGAGAGCCTTTTAACACAATTGAAGAAGACTAACGAGCCAAGGCCTAAAAGACGACCATGTCTTTCTATCCTAAATGGCAGTGTCTTTCTATCCCAGATGACTGTGTATTTCTTTAAAGTTGTTTAAGCAGGAAGAATACGTCAGGCCCCTTTGTTTATTACTGCTGCCATATCTAAAGTTTTCAGACTAAATAGGAGGTCTGGAGTCTTTCCAAAGTTTCTCCTTTTGTTGCGTTAGTTCTGCTAAATTGAAGAGGGGGTGAGTGACAGTTAGAGAGGCAACAAATATTAGATTTATAGGGGTAAAATGCCATCTGCCTTATGCCTCTGCTGTTGATCTTTCAATGGTAAGTGACTCACCTTATTGTTGCTCTCCTCAAGCTTTCTTTCATGTTGCATTTCTGCACATTTTCCATTCAGATTGTTGCTCGTCTGCGTAATTTGATTGAGGGATGTTTTTTTATGATAATTGAATTGGTGCTACAATTGTAAATGAATTCGCTAATTGATTTTAGATAAGTCTCATTATGCAAATGAGCCTTTTTCATCCTCATGCATATTCTGCGTCCTTTTAGATCGGTCATCATTAGAGAGAGGCACCATGGCAGGTTATAAACTCTTTAAACCGTTTATGGGAAAATACATTTCATGCATTATTACTGTAATTCGGGGATTATGGCAAGCAAGAGACTGTCAGCATGGCGCTCAGCTCCCAGCAGGCTCCAGAGCCGTTTGTCTGTCATTGTCACCACACAGTGTCAGAGCCAATCTCTTAGGACTTTGATTCATCTGTGCTGGTGTTTATGCAGAAATCTCTGGACTCGGATGAAACACATCTACAAAACCCTTTTTGTCATTGCTGTTCTTTCACCGGCATAAGCTGAACAGAAAAAAACCCAACTGTGACACCAGACAAGGCATCTGTGTTTAGGAGGCCGTTTGGAGTCTATACAATTAGTGGAGGAAAAATTCCTTCTCTATAAAGCACCTTGTTAAAGGAAATAGTTGCTATTTGATGTGTGGTGTTAGCGTGTAGTTATTTTTAAACCTCTCTCCTGGGAGCGACTCGGTGGTGGTTTTAATGAGAGTGCAAGAGAGAGAAAGAGAGGCCGAGAGAGCTTGGGGGACTGCAGGGAGATGGGTGCCAGGCTGTGCCAGACGTTGGCTTTCAATCACAAAGACTGCAACAAGGGGTCCCGGCTCGGCAATTTTAATTTGCCCCCAACTTTTAGAAACAAGATCATTCAACTCTAGCATTATTTACCATCTTTTCTTTTTGAATAGTGTCAGATTGATAGCCTGTGAATCGAATTTCAAATCCTGGCGACCCAATCTGTTAGAGAAAAGGAAAGCAAATAACACAGCCGGTGCTGTCTCTCCACTTTACTCCCAGTGCGTGCAAAGAGTGCAGTGCATTCAATAAGAGAACTGCATGCTAACTTCACCTTAGAGCCATATATTGGATGTGAAATATTGTTGGCTGGGACCCTTAGGGTCATGTGGAGATAACTGTTAGTTCATGTTGCACTCTTTAAAAGAGAAAATTCAAGTCTGGACCATTTTTGGCATGTTCTGCCACATGTAGGAGGCATATTTTTTGGTGCCAAGAGGAAAGCCCTGGCTGGCTTTGCACGGTGAAATTATAAGGCAACTTTTGTTATTTGAAGTCTACCTGAAACTGAATAGCAGTTCAGTTCCACAATGTAAAGTGTCCTGCAACTCATTTGAAACAGTTGCAGGTGTCTCAACTTCATGGAATGAGTTTAGTGAAATAGCCAGTCAAAACGCAGATAACACATCATGTGATCATGTCCAAGGACATCCAGTGATTGATTTCACTGGATTAATGGACAAGCAAATAAAAAAGAAGATAGTTTATTCTATTCTATTCTGACTTTTTGCAAGTTTCCTGAGCCATGTCACCAAATGTGAGTTTCACAAAGCTAACCAGCTGTGTTAACTAGCCAGCTAACAGTAACAGCAGCTATTTAAATGGCTGCTAATGCCACTGTTTATTCTTCTTTAGCCTACTGTTATTGTAATTTACGTAGATAGATTCATTTCCTCCTCTCTTGATGGGCCCTAATTTCACACAGAGTGCAGATGCCTTTGGGATCCAAATGATTAATATTTTTATAGCAGGGGACACAGAGTGGTCCACCATTAACTTGTTGTGCTTCTAAGACAGAATTAGCCAAGTATGGTATAACCATAACTGCTACTTAAACATTCATTTGCAAAGGTCTTATCTACAAACAACAGATAAAACACTTAAATATATAGTAAAAAGCCATAGACAGATAACATTATATAAAGGACAAATACACTGTATGGCCAGAAATATGTGGACATCTGACTGGCAGACTTGTATGAGCTTGTAGGACCCACCTTGTAGCTACAACAGCCTCCATTCTTCTGAGAAGGATTTCCACAAGATTGTCTATGGAGACTGCATGGCAATGTACTTTTTTATATGTACGATTTTATACACCTCTTAGCGATGGCTGTGGCTGAAACACCTGAACTTAATGAGTAGGAGGAGGCCATATAGAGTAGATAGATATAGAAAAAACAGAACTAGAAAAAAATATACAAAGATAATAGTAATGCTGCAAATATGCAA